CCCACCACTACCACAACTCGGACAAGGGAAACGGGGCGTAACTGCACGCAAATGACCCTCCGCCTTCCTAGGAAAGGTTTGGAGGGGCCCACCGACGGAATCTCCATCGAGGAGAAGCCAGCCGGTCACCCAAGTCAATCGAACGGCTCGAGCAGCTGCTGAGAAACGGGTAAGGAGCAGTGGGATGCCCAATGCAGGTTATGCCGACTCCGTCACGAATGACGGAACTAGATTTCACTCGGACATATCCAATAGGAGCTCCCCGAACCCATCACTCCAATCATCGAGGTAACTTCACCAACCCCCATTTTACTTTTCTAGTGCATGAGCATTTATTCATCCATTCTCATGCATGCATTCATACATTCAGTCATATATTCATCCATACCTTCATCCCATACATCCAAGCATTGCATATGCAATTGTTGCATCACAACGTTTCGCGTCACGTCACGAAGCGGTAGTCGTCTCATTCGATATGAGCGGCGACCGACTGGGGTTCGAAGGCCGTCCCGCAAAGGGCTCGAGGCCACCTCACGTCAAACAGAGGCAGGGGAGAAAACACAGATGAGCCCCAGCGGCCCTCGCCTGATCCGCTTAGAAGCGGACAGGGTCATTTCGACCTTCTCGTTTGATCCTAACCTCGAGCCATGCCCATAGAATCTCCATCAAGGGGAGGCCAGCGGGCCACCTGAGTCGGTCTCTGGAACGGCTGGGGCATCTACTGGGAGGCGGGTTAAGGAGTAGTGGACTGCCACATGAGGGCTATGTTGACCCCATTATGAACAACGGACCTGGATTCCACTCGAACATGCTCGTTAGTGAGCTCACCGAGCGTGTCACTTGAGTCATCAAGGCAAGCGACGTTAGCTCAACTCCTCCGATTGCGGAAACCATAGATAGGGTGACGCACGAAGCTCGACCAACCCCTACCGAGCCCAATAGGGCTCGGGGGCTCGGGCCACCTAACCCCGACTTAGGAATCCAACCGACTGCGCAAGTCGTGGGCGGGACAAACACGGGCAAACACCCCGACCGGTAGGAACATAGGAGTTTGTGGCCCTAGGAAAGAATACTAAGGTGCTCAGCCTCCGATCGACTCACCAGTCGGCTGCAGGCTCGGAGGCTACACCCACCGGATGCACTCGCGCGTACCCGACAGAAGACGAACTACCGACGAGTTCCTCCCCCTTTGGGGGTTGGGCGCCTATGTCTACTCGGCGCGCCTCCACGGCCTTCGCCGGTCCCCTCATCAGGGGCTTGGTGCCAATATCCCCTCGGCACGCCTCCGCGGCCTTCGCCAGTCCTCCCCGTAGAGGCGGGGCGCCTAAATCCTACTTGGTTACCCTACGCGATACAACAAACCAAGGGGGAAAACGCCAAAGTTCCAATAAACATCCCGCCTCCATGGCGCAATGGGCACAGGAATTATAAAGCAAATACAAGCTTTCATTAACATAAAGACACAAGCCCTAGGATTTTACAATAACACGCAAAGCGTGTGTGAACAGCCCCAGGACTGCTCCTTACCTTGGGGCATGAAGCGGAACAAGGGAGCCAAGATCCTTGTTCTCTCGCTATAATGCTCTCCTCCCTCTCTCCGTCCTCTGATCCAGAATCTGGGACTGGGGCCCGTTCGAGACGTACGATGCTCTCTCCTTACGAGAGATCTTCTAGCATCGTACTCCCGTGCGCCCTCAAAAGAGGCAACTCAACAACCCCTTCACGGCTTCACAGAAGCCCCAAAGGGGCTCGAGGGCTCCTGTCGGTTTTATAAACTCGGGGTCCCCAATGGACCCGCTACCCTACAATTCTTGGCCTATCAGGCGGCACAGCGACAGCGCTCGTCTGGGCCGGCCTAGATACACAATGACTGGTCGAGACCACGATCTGATCCCCGACCAGCACCTCCGCCCAGGAGACCTGGTCGGAGCCCTAACCGGAAGGCCTGGCCGAGGTGGGACCGCGGTCCGACTCCGACCCCGTTCCTCCGACCGAGGATATGCCGGACCTTTGCTCGCCTCTCTTTCCCGATCGACACGGTCGGGGCTAACTGGAAACGACCGATCAGGATGCCTGCTCAATGTGGGCCCGGGGAGCAGGCGGAGCAGATAAGGTAAGGCGCTCAAGTCAATCGCAATACTGATGACCGTACCCTGCCATGCCCTGCGCACCTGCAGGACGGTGCCGTCAAGCCATGTCAGACGGACACTATACAGCCTGCTAGACGCGGCAGAGCACAAACAGTATTGTGGGTGTTGTGGTTTGCCGTCCCAGGCAAACACTATATAGCCTGCCAGGTCATGAACAGTAAGGTGGGCGAACATTGTGCAGCCTGCCAGGTACAGTAGGTCATAAACAGTAAGGTGGGCGATGGCGTGTCGTACCCGACGACGTGGGCAACAAGACTAGGTAGCACCCATACACACTATCTCCCTTTCCGTCTTTGACTTGTAAGGCCATCGTCTTTATCTATAAAAGGGAATGCGCTCGCTCCTCTGACGACAGCTCAACAGCTCTAGAACTCGACAGCTACACAGTCTACACGCTCTCAACAGCTGATAAGATCGGACACACAGAGCATACGCTCCAATACATAGCGCACGTTTGAGCATCCGTCACTCTCTTCCACTCGGTTCCGACTTCGACCGGGCCTCTAACACACCCTTCTCATTCATTACTCGTTTGTAACCATACAGCAAACTTCGAGCATCTGGGCTCAGGAATAAAGTCACCGACCCACTGAAACTAGATGTAGGGCACGTTGCCTGAACCAGTATAAATCCTGTGTCATCGCATACTAGGCCACATCCGATCACAGCGCACGACAAAACTACTAATATTTATTTGTCGGCCACATTTCGCACCGACACACCTACTGCAGCTGCTGGGCGCCGCGTGCATGCGTGTGAGAAGCGGATGGGGCACGAGCGGCGCGGGCCCTGCATAGGCGGGGCGCGGGATGCAGGTGCACGGGGAGAGACGGAGTGCAGGCGCGGATGTCCGGAAGCGGGCGTCCGTCTGGACGTCCGGACGCTAGCACTGTCGTTAATTTTTAGGGACGCTTTTTCTATACACGATCTTGTTAGGTAAACCAGAATGATGTAGGAGCTATATTACCAAAGAAAAATATGAACTACACTAAAACATGATAATATAGGCTAGTAACAGCTCACAACGTGGCTTAACTCTGTTTTGTAGGGCTCCTTCAAACATTAAAAACGAATCCGTGCGACAAGCGGAGAGGAGCCTAGATGTTTTTGTATGAAGTAGCTTAAGCTGAAAAAATTGGCTTCTACTGACTCCATCCTCAAAAACCTAATATAAATTGTTACAAAATTAGCACTAAAGCCGTTTTTACCAAATATTTTTCAAAACGGCTCTAACTGCTCTCCGTGAGAAGCCAGAGCCTAGAGCTGCAGTCCTACTAGAAGGAGCCCGAATCATACCAAACGACCTTTAAAAACAAGTAACACAAGCTTTACACATCATGCGTGGCCATCCTATCCAAGCAAACGTCACGCTACAACAAAGCACTAAAAAACTATAACAACCTTGGAGCCTAGCTAGAACCCTAGTAACACACATCGTATGTTAACCGAAACTAGGGCCCCAGTTGTCGATGAAGTAGTTGTTTTTGCTTCGGCTTTACCTTCGCTAGTCAAGCCAGAACTTTTTGTGAAAAATGTTTGGTACAATATAGTTTCTCCTGACAGTTTTTTTTATAGAAGTAATTCTCTACTGATTCCGTGAAGTGATTCTCTGAAATGAACTAATCGGCTGAGACCTGGAAAAAGTAGCTTCTCCTAATTCTGTGAAATGATTCTCCATTGTGATTTTGAGACTTTATGCTAAATGATCAAAGAGAATTATATTTAGCCACAGAATCACTTCTCTCGTACAATCAGCTTTCATATCGAACGATAATTAGATAGAGCTTTACCCCAAATAGGCTCATAGATAGCCATAAGGAAGCTCGAGGCCCATGGGCTGACCCACAGCCTACTGTTTGTTTCGGCCCAGGCAAGGCAAACGGTGCACTCCGACGTCGTGCTAGCTCGGTCCGATGTCACGATGTGCAAGATAAGCATGGGCAGTTCCTCTAGCACGACGTGCCAGCTCGACTTAGACTCGATTAATGGACAGTTCGACGCAGCCGCTAGAGAGGTATATAAGCCACCACCTCTCTTATAACCCTAGTTTCAAGCCCTTCTCTCACGAGCAGCTCACCTGGCCTCTCGCATCGCCTCCCCAATGCTTCATTTGGCGCCTCCCGACCAGCATGTGAAGGTGGCGACGGTGCGTCCCCCGCTAGCTCACAGGTGTGGCGTTGCGTGGACAGGGTGGCGACAACCACGCAAGACTGATAGGGCGACACTTTCGATTTGATTTTTGTATGAGCGTGAAGAATAAATTTGACTCGATTTTCTTGTGGGCTAGCAATTTGTTGTGCTTGTTAGGCTGAGATGGCACGACTAACCGTGCCTAGACCACTTGATAATCCCATGTGCACTGTATCTATATCTATGTAATCTAATATATTAAAAAGACAAAATTTCTCTCCACCCTAATTTTTGTCCGGCCCATTCACTTTGCCCAACGTCCCAATCGCTATTTTCCACAGCCGCTCCCCGTCTCCCTGCACGGGCACGCCTCGCGATGGCAAAGGGGAATTCCCCGTTGGGGATCGTCCTCCCAGCCCCGTCCCCGCGGGGGAAGATTTTCCCCGTCCCCGTCCCCACGAAAGCTCACGGGGGACATTCTGTCCCCATCCCCGAAACCGAGCGGGGAATGCATCCCCGACGGGGTCCCCGTCCCCGCGATATAAGCTTGGAAAAGAATTCCTCAAATCAAGAATCTAGAAGAAGAAATGCTCACCACAGACGCATCTTGAATCAATATGAAATGAGATCGTTTCGTTTTACAACTCACAGCTCCTTTGCTGCCAAAATAGGAGGTCCAGGCTGGGTCCGGCACGAGGCGAGTGCGCGTGCCGCCCCTCACCTCCCACACGCCCCCCACACACACGTCACCTCCGGAGTTGCCGAGGGTCTCAGTGATTGTGGACGCGGCGCCAGACATGAGGAGCAGGAACAGGAGGAGGAACTCCGGGTGGAGGGCCTGGAGCCACCATCGCCGGGGTCAGGAGAATCCATTCCTCTCCCGCCATCGCCTCCACTTCCTCCATCACTGCCACCGGAGTCACCATAACCGTGGAAGCCGCCTGGACGACTGTGGGATGCCGCGAGGAGTGGCGGGGAAAGCTTGGCGTAGATGCGGTGGAGTCTGAGGGCGGTGAGGGATGGCGGCGGCGGCGGCGGCCGCCGCGAGGCGACGCGAACGAGGGAAGCTGGGGGTAAAAAGGAGGGGAGGAGGAGGAAGGATTGCGGCATGGTATTGACGGGCGAGCTGCTAGGTGTGGCCTCCACGACCACTAGCGTGCGAGAGCGAGAGTGTGAGATGCTGAGCGAGACAGGGGGCGGCGCGACGGCTGGAGGACAGGGTTGGCCGGATTGTATTGAAGAACGAATTATGGTTGGAATGGTGCATTATATACTCCGTGACTTATTGGGCCTTTTACATGGGCCTGGCGAGTGGCGACCTGGCCGTCTGGTGCCTTCTTCGCGGGGCGGGTCGGCAGGGATCGGGGTCGGGGATCAGCGAACCATCCCCGTCCCCGCCATTCCCGACGAGGACAACTTTTCTACTAAATCCATCCCTGTGAGGATTAATTTTCCTCTATCCTTCTCCCCTAATGGAAGAATTCCCGAATCCCGTTGCCATCTTGAGGCACGCCTCCAGTCTGACCCATTCTTTTGTGGCCCAACCGTGAGCCCACTCATCTCGCTTCCACTCCCCTTTTAGCCCAAGCACCCGTTCCGTCTCCCTGCGTCGCCGTTGCTCCCGACTCCCGTACGGCAGGCAGCAGCGCCTCCAGCGCAGCAGCGCCGCCGTCGCTCAGCTCTGCCAGCGCCACCGCCGCTCCTACGTACGACCTTGCCGCCGATCCCCTGTGCAGCGCCGCCGGTGCTCAGATGTAGCAGTTCGTCGCCGTCTTTCCTCCGTACCGCGTATACCAGTCCGACGCCAAGACGAACAAGGTGTGGGTCCCTCCGCCACGGGCTCTTAAAGAGTTGGAGACAGAGTCTACGGCGATGAAGAAGCCAAGGACGGACACTGCCGATGGTATCAGACCAAATCGAATCAAACTTGCTGCAGTCCGTTGCTCTGTTGTTTGATCTGGTGTCCCCGTGTGCAACCGAATCCATGCACCATAAATCCATGATAGTAATCCCCATCCTCAGACCAAACAAAGAACATCAACATGCACAACGCAGAAAAAGAGAGAAGGCAAGGAGAAATCGACTAAAGCTGTGAATCGAATCAAAAAACTGCCCAGGATTTTACTGTCTCCTATACAAAACGTGGCTACTGCTTGCATCCCGCATAAATCACAAAAATTCATAGAGATGGCAGGTCCTTCTCCAAGGAAAACCCCATGCCGCCCTCACTCTGTTCACGAGGCGGATAAATCGCGGAGGCATACGGGAACCAATATAAAGATCTGTCTCCTCGCCGACATGGATCGGGCCCAACTCAGGCCGTCGCTTGCTGCGACGCTGCCCCTCTCCAGCAGCTCTCATCGACGCTCGATGAGATCTCCAAGTGAGAGATTTATCAGATAGAAGAAAGAAGGGAGAGAGTTGGAAACAACTGTAAGACTGGGCTAGCGGCTGAACACAGGGAAAGGGGAAGACCATAAAAATAGACGAAGACAAGTCTGAAACAGACCTGCAATGTGGCGTTGTGATTGGTTGCGTGACGATGTGTTAGGATCCGTTCCTCCACTGGCGTATGTAGCCGTGACGAGGTGCCATGGGGTCGGTTGTGGGCAGCGCAGCCGATTGAACACTTTAACTTGGCCGTGCTGAGCAGTGAGCGGGAGGAGTATATATATACTCCTATAGTACGTTGCTTTTCAAGCGTTCATCCGTGGAAGGATGGTGACTACATTAGCTTCTTGAACATTTTAAACATTGGTTTTTTTAAACTACTAAAATCCATACACACACGCGAGCGCAAGCACCACGCACACGCATACATATACCATGGAAATTTGGTCTACGTACTATACAATATTCAATTGTAAGAGGATTTGGAAGACTTAACATGACCGGGTTGCAAGCCGTCCAGAAAGGCAGAAACCAGAGTACTCTGTCTCGTACAATAAACTATATTTTCCGTTGCAACGTCACGGGCACTTTTTTCTACTAGTAATAAAGAGGTAAAATTTCTTGCATAAAATGTTTCGTGCAACTAAGACATCGACTCGATTACAGTTTATGTTTTTTTTTATTTTCATGTTTTAGTCTTTTTCTTTTCATGGATTTTTTTCTTTTTTCCGGGCCTCCCCTAACTAGCTACGTGGATGGTGGTTTGACGATGAGTTAGACACGAAAACAAATCAAGTACAGCCGTCAAAGATTTTTCCAAATCGAATCCACCACGGACAGCTCTCCCGATGCGTGGACAGGTCTCTCGATGCGGCACATCGATGGATTGATGATGGGGACGCAAGTTGGGATGATGTTCCGAAGCACACCGGATCATCAAGAGGATGCATACGGCAATCACGACGCAGTGGAGCTGCAGAGATTCGCGGCGCAACATTGGGCGTAGGTTCCTCTGAAGCTTGACATCTGCGCGGCACTGGTTTTTGCTGCACGCCGTCGTCTTTGGGGTGGCTCTTGCTTGGGCGCGCGCGCTAGGGCCGGGGAAGACGGCGGGCAGCGTTGGAGCCGGACGTTGGTGGTGGAGCGGTGCAGTGCTGGTGGAGGGCAGCGATGCTTTTGTTTTCTCCTGTATGATAGCTCCATACTTTATGCGTCGGATGAATGAGTAGAGTCGATGGGAGAAGAGACAAATAGGCCTGCAATCGACAATCAAATGGGGCTAGAGTCCGATGAGCCATGTCCTAATAGTGAGATAGTCAATGCAAATAGACCTGCAACCCGAACGCTAGAATGCATTTGTATTTTCTTATCAAATCTATAAACGATTAGCATTAGTATTCTCCGTGCAATCTACTTTTTAGGGAACCCGTGCAATCTAAAATTATAGTACTAATAATTATTTATGTAAATAAATATATCGAAATCATGTTCTCATTTTATAGCTACGTTCTAGGTATATTATCCAAATTATCTAGGGACCATATCCCACTCTTCGAATCAATCCTCCCAAAGAGATAAACTCTCACGAACTGGGAACTTAAAATTTTCGATTCACCCACGTGTTCCTCGTACCCTTCAGATCGGGAACTTTGTGGCACTATGTACGAACCAATCCTAAATAAATTGAAAGCAGCAACGTGTTCGGCCTGCTGTCCCTTGACTTCTAACGTATAAATTATGTGAATAAATTGTAAAATTATATTTACACAAATAAATGATTTTCTTTTTTTAACATAACTCTCACATACAAGCATTTATTTCTCTCCCGTTGCAACGCATGGACATATTTGCTAATTTAAAAAAAAAATCGAAGCCCACGTATGTCCCGAGCCCTCCGTCCGGCAAACATGAGCTCTTGTCAGTTCGTTACTAAGCAAGCAACTCCTAACCTCACGCGAACAGTGAGAAACTCCTCAACTTCTACTTGTCTAAGCAAGCTAAGTATATATTATGGTCTAGAAACATAAACAATGAATATATAGTTGAAGCTTGGGATTAGAGGTAGAACTTGGGTTGTGCTGGCATGTCTTGTGTTTTGTGACCTGTAGGCACGTAAGGCATGTCAGGTCGTGCCGACAAGTTTTTACTTCGGCACAAAGCACGACACATGGCACTGGCACACATTCGTGTCATGTTGGCCCAGCTCTGAAAATATCTTAGTTTGTTTTCTTTGTCCACTTGTAACATAGAAAAAATATATTTTACATACATTTATATGAAAACTTTGAGGGATTTTTATAATCCAGCTAAGAATTAGATAAAATGTAATATAGTAAATACTAAACATTGCATCATAGCATTGTAGATAGGCTTACATGTTATTTTTGTACCATGCCGGCCTTGCACATACCAAAATATGGGTTGTACTATGCCGCCAGGCATGGCTTGTGTTTTGTGACCTATAGGCACGTAAGGCATGTGGGGTCGTGCCGACAAGTTTTTACTTCGACACAAAGCACGACACATGGCACTGGCACACATCCGTGTCTTGTTGGCCCAGATCTGAAAATATCTTTGTTTATTTTCTTTGTCCACTTGTAATATAGAAAATATATATTTTACATACATTTATATGAAAACTTTGAAGGATTTTTATAATCCAGCCACTACACCACGACACCGCATCGCCGTCAGACATCTGATGCTAAAAACTATATTTATCGATATATGATGTGTCGCTAAAGATAAGTCACAGACGATCTGTCGCTAATTCCTCGTTTAGATATCAATTGTCTGTCGCTATAGATAATCATATTTAACGTTGAACTGTCTGTCGATAAAAACAGGTATACCATCAATCCATCTGTCGTAAAAAAGAAGTGGCCCCCACCTAGCTCACGCGCCCCGTTACAGTGAGCCTACGGGTAAATTTTAGGCTGGTCCATGGGTACAATAAGAAACTCTAGACCCTTCTCTTCCTCAAATTCCCAAATCCAAAGATGCGCCACCGCCGGTTCTTCCTCTCCCGCCACCGTTGGTTCTTCCTCTCCCGCGGGTACATACATTTATATGAAAACTTTGAGGGATTTTTATAATCCAGCTAAGAATTAGATAAAAGGTAGTATAGTAAATACTAAAACATTGCATCGTAGCATTGTAGATATGCTTACATGTTATTTTTGTACCATGCCGGCCTTGCACATACCAAAATACGGGTCATACTATGCCGCCAAACATACCAAGATCCTAGACACGACTCGAATTTTTTCATGTCAAGCTGTGCATTTGGTGATTTGGGCGAGCTAAAAGATCATGCTATGGCCTGCTCTCAAATGGCATGGCCCGAAGAGAAGGGGTGTGCATACCCGGTGGGTGCTAGTCGCCAGCGTTGGCGATCGGATCTGGCGTCACCACCTCTGAAGACCTCTGCCGCTTGCTGATGTCGGCGTCTCGGCAACAAGGGCTCCTCCTCCCACCACCACCTCCGGCAGCACCCTCTGAGCCGCCGCAGCCGCACGCCTCATCTCCTCGGGCGCTAGCGACGATAGTGGGGCGGCGACGTGGCGCTAGGCGAGAGCGACGGGAGACGAGTGCGGACAAAAGGAGTGCCTTTCTCTGTGGAGAGTGAGGAGGGCTAGTTGGGATTGAACAAGAAGTAAAGCAACAAGTTACATCATGAGATTTAGACCCTTGTGGCCTCACTGATCGTCAGCCCCATGCCTCACCGTCGTCCCTTGCTTTCATGGCCTCGTCGTAGCCATTTCGCCGCGCCGCAATCTCTCCTCCCCGCGCCGCCCCTCCGCAATGCCACGCCACCGACAGCAGGCCGCCGCTCCTCGGACAGGACGCCAGCCCTCCTCAGTCTCCACAGAGAAAGGCACTCCTTTTGTCCGCACTCGTCTCCCGTCGCTCTCGCCTAGCGCCACGTCGCCGCCCCACTATCGTCGCTAGCGCCCGAGGAGATGAGGCGTGCGGCAGCGGCGGCTCGGAGGGTGCTGCCGGAGGTGGTGGTGGGAGGAGGAGCCCTTGTTGCCGAGACGCCGACATCAGCAAGCGGCAGAGGTCTTCAGAGGTGGTGACGCCAGATCCGATCGCCAACGCTGGCGACTAGCACCCACCGGGTATGCACACCCCTTCTCTTCCTTGCTGTTGTGCGAAGTCAGCACCTGAACCCTAACTTAAGCTATTTGGCTATTTGCATCTGGATCTAATCTAAGTACATGGACCCTTCTAGTGATTTGAAAGTCTGAATTACATTTCTATTAGTCTATTTAATTTGAACCAACATGTATATTTGTTTCTTAAAATGGAAAATGATTTTCCTAGCTGCTTTAGGAAGTACTCCCTCTATTTCAATGTATAAGACGTTTTGGCATTTTTAGATACATAACTTTGGTATGCACTTAGATATACACTATATGTCAAGATAAATAGCACGATGTATCTAGAAAAGCTAAAATATTTTATAATTTAAAATGTAGGGTATAGGAAAGAGCAATTCGATGTTTCAATCCCAACTAGACTATAGTAATTAGATCATAGTTGCTCTTTAGGCTCTTAACATGTCAATCTCAAGTTTAGTCAACCACACAAAAACGACCATTACTTTATTAGATCACACAAATATGCGGTACTCTAAATTTAGCCCCTAATTTTAGACAACTAAACTTAAACATGACCTAATATTCTTCCAATATATTGTTGCTAAATGGTAGCCACAACTAGTAATCTAGTAAGTATACTCATGCAGCATATTTTTTAAATAAAAACTACCATAACTCTAATATTTGATTTGCGTTCCTTCACTAGACCAATAATTGCTTCAGGATGAGCTCAATCATAACTGGGCAGTTGGCTTTAATCTTCTGGTACCCTTGGGTCTCCATGGCGGCCTTGAGGTTCCCCGGAAGCGAAAGAAATTCCACGCAAGCGGCCTTGAGAGCATCGCAGCTGTGCTGCTCCGCGACAGCCAAGGATCCGGCCACCGTGTCCAGGTCGATACGCTGGCACAGCATCTCCTCGCAGATGAGCTTGAGTCTCTCGAGCTTGTACCGGTGCGCCGCCGCGAGCAACCCCTGCGCCATTGCGACCTCCACGGCGCCCTGCTGCTCCTCCTGCCCCTCCTCCTCGATCTTGGACGGCAGCTCGTCGGTGTACATGAAGTGGAGCAGCGCCTTGAACACCTTGGGCTCCACGCCACCGATCTCCACGCGGCGACGGACGACCCCGCCGGACGCCTTCTCCTTGGGCGCGGCGAGGAGCTCGGCCTCGAAGACCGGGGACCGCGCCGCCAGCAGCCACCCGTGCGCCTCGAACGTCTCCCCGCCGACGTCGATCACGACGTCCATGCCCTGCTTCTTCTTCCACAACAGGTCGCCGAGGTCCTCGTGCAGGTCGGACGGCGGCACGGCGACGCGCGCGCCGCCAGAGCGGCGGCGCTCTCAGCTTCAGCAGCAAACTTCTTGACGACGGTGATGTCGCACCGGACGGTGAAGCTGTCGTCCTTGACGCACCCGGACTCCTCCAGGTCTCTCCAGCTGATGAACCGCTGGAAGCCCTTGCTCCTCGACGCTCCGTTGAAGTAGCCCACCTCCCAGAACCAGCGGGTGTGCTCGGGAACCGGGTTCCCGGCCTGGTCGAGCAGGCTGAACCCGAACTGGACGGGCTCGGTTTCTTGCTGCTGCTGCTGACGGCCGTCGCCGGCACCATCGTCGTCGTCGGCGAGCTCGAGGAAGAGGGAAATGGAGTCGTTCCAGCTGTTTCCGTTGGGGTCGTACTTGATCCGCCAGCGGTAGCCCGCCGCGTCGAACGCCGGCGACGTCGCGGTCCAGTCTATCGGGACTTTCCTTGTCGCCGCGTAGCCGCTGATGGTGAGGTTGTGTTGCCCCGTCACTTCGCGCGTGACGATGGAGGAGCGCGAGATCCGGTGGGCGCCGGACAGCAAGGCGATCCGGCGGGCGGCGAAGGCCGAAGCGGCGGACGCCATGGCTTTTGGAACGAAAGCTTCTGCGCGGCGGTGGTTGGTTGCTGGCGGCAATGCAGATGGAGAGATGGAGCAGAGCAGAGGCCAGGAGGACGATTTTGCTTTGCTTATATATAAATGAAAAGCTTGGGCTTAGGGATTGGGTCTGTTTGCACACGAGCGACGCAAAATCACGCATGGCCGGTTAATTAGGGCCGGTTAGTTAGGGCACGGGGCACCCCTAATCAACAAATAGGATCATCTCTCAATCTTGTGTGCACTAGATCTAACCACCGGATCAACAAGTTCGTTCACAGCGATCTCCTATTATACGGAATTACGGATACCGATTGTTGTTATTATCTCAAGTTGTACAATACAATTAATATGCTTGATTTATTAGATTAAAAAAACAATGAGTAATATTAACAATGAACATTAATATTTCTATGGCAATTGTTAAAATGTTAATAAAAAAGCATCAAAATAGGGAAATATTGATATGAACAATTGCCGTTTTTATTAAGCATATACATACGGCGGGAATTCAGGTTATGGAAATATTTATTCATCCGTACGTGCAACCAGGGAGCCAAATAGAGAAAAACAAGAAATAGAAAAACACATACGTTTATATGAACCTTGCATTTGCATAATCCTGACTTATATAGAACAAATACATGGCGGATTGAATTTATTTATCTTTCTTGTAAGAGTTCCAAGTACTCTAAACATATACTAAGGCTCCGTTTGGCAGAGCTTCACTTCACTAGTGAAGCCTTTTTTTTTTTTTTTTTCTTCAGCTCCACGAACAGTTCCACCGGTGGAGCTGAAGCGGTTTTGGTAAACCGTTTGGCAAAATGGTTTTCTGTGAGAGCATGTTTTTTTAGGGGCCTGCAGGAGGAGTCGGGAGAAACTTTTTTTTTTTTGCTCCATCCCACCCCAAATCAACTGTGAGAGCATGTTTTTAGTGGCTTCACAAGTGAAGCTATTTTTTTTTACTCCGTTTGGTAGAAAACGGCTTCAAACGGCTCCTGAAGCCGATGGAGAAGCCCTACCAAACGGGGCCTAAGTCAGATCCATGGATCACTGCCACATCTATATATGCCACACTTCGCAGGGGGAATCAGAGCCGGCAGAGGGCAATCAATAGTTATAGGGCTTGGCTATCACTGCCGAGCCTAGAATCATAACTAACAGTGATAGGATGAACGTCACTGCTAGGTCATATACCCCCACTATACCCGAAAGTGATTGGATTAATGTCACTCCCAAGTCCCAAGTGAGGGTTGTACCTGTTAGTGAGTTTATTGTACTCACTACCGGTTTAGTGCCTTCAACTTGTCAATAGCCATCATTTCCCATTGTTGTTCATATATTTTATTAATATATACATTTAGATAGAGGTTAGTGTCTAATATTTTTTACATTTGATATTATTATAATAAATCACACATATATCAAAGCCATTAAGATTATACTACAATTATAGAGCATGATTCAATCAATAATGTATATATTACAATTAAGTCACCTTGAATTAGAACACTAGTATTTGTACAATCATGGGCTCTGTTGAGTATCAAACAAAGGGTTAGATTAAACTCTCGGATTAGCACCATGACAGTCAGATTAACCACATGACTCCAATCAGCCAGGGCTTGAGGGCTATGCTCATCAGGTGCACTTGCGTGCACTCTGGCCCATCAACGAATGGTTTAGTGGGCCACAAAGAGCCTGTTTTGGGAGAAGGTCTAGGTGCCTGATGAACGAGCCAAGGGACTAAATCCTTGCTCGAGCCACCCATACCGAGGGGCTCTAGGGCTTCACCAGATCCGAGTAGCTCCCGACCTTGGGAAACAATAGTTGAGCAAGGGCCTCAACGTAAGCTTTGGCCTTGCTTGTGGGCTAGGTTTCCACTCCCGACCAACACAGAGAATATACTCTAGAATCTATCAGGCGATTGGAGCCTGACACGCAGACAGAGCAATAGGGCGCTAGACCTAGCCAGAGCTCTATTTCCTCGCTCCCGCGAGGCAGTGTCGGCCACTCCCGGCGTAGGATCACGCCCGAGGCATGACTCAACACGACAATGCACGCGCCCGTTACGCGGGCGGCTTTGGGCTCGCATGGCAGCTGTCCTCTGCTTGCGGGCAAGATCCTCGCGTGTGATGGATGCCATGAGAAGTCAAACCCGACGGAGGCACAACGACGACAGACAACACTTGATGGTCACCTCCAGACAGCAGAGGCAGTTGGGACATTGTTAGCCCTCTGCTACAAGATGAAGACGGTGCCCACCGGAGGACTCAAAACCCTAGGAAACACACTTTTAGATTCATCATCGTGAGGTAAAGCAGTAGAATAAGATTTAGGGCTTTCTCGTCCATCTTATCATCAAAGCAATTGTTTGCAACTTCCACTAAGGTTTTTGTAAAACGAGAAGCTATCGGCACTAGGAGTAGATGCACTTAAGTCAGATTTTACCTTAGATGTGGATGGTACAGATGTCGAGGTGAGGTCAAACTCCTTGATAGTCGTGACAACTACACGCCAATCTATGGTGAACCATGCAATGTGAGGGCAACTTCACCGACTTTCTCTTCTCCTCTAGCATCATGTTACGAAGGTACTCATATGAGGGTTCGATTGTACCATCATCTTTGCTCCCATACATGGTGGCGGGTGATCTCTTCCCCTAACAAAGTCGCTAAAAAGTGTGTTGACGCAGTTAAGGTCTCGCAACTAATAAGTTAGGGCGCTCGAATCACACAATGGATCAACTCATGATTTACTCGATGAAACCGGATTGGACAAACACACCCATGGTAACTCAGGGTTGCTCTAGCCTCTAGGTTAGCATGCCACCTAGAACATCCCCGTAAACTCCATCGAGCTTTCTCTACGGTTAGCATGCACCTAGGACGTCCCCGCAAACTCCATCGATAAGCTTGCTCCAGGGTTAGCATGCCACCTTGAACGTCCCTGCAAACTCCATCGATAAGCTTGCAGAACAGCATGATATATGTGATTAGAGAAGCTAGAGTTTGAGATGCATAAGAAAAATAGATGTGATTTTGACCGATTGAGGATACCCTTTACATTTTATAGAGTATGGGTGTGGTGTTATTCCATTAGAAATCAGGGTTTGCCAAAAAAAAAAAACAGCCCAAAACGGTTGTCAACGCATTGACTTCACTTGGGCATGTATGCATGATTGCACATACGTATACATGTACCCATATATATATATATATATATATATATATATATATATATATATATATATATATATATATATATATATATATAAACCATTAACTTTAACTAATAACATTAGTATTCCAATTTTGCCAAAAGTAGCTACAGTTGCAGCCAAAAAATTACAATAGCTAGTAATGCTTGGTATTCTGATTTACTCCTACTATGTTTGTTCGCTAGACCAATTGCTTCATGATAAGCTCCATCATGGTGGGGTTGGCTTTTATCTTCTCGTACCCTTCCGTCTCCATGACGGCTTTCAGGTTCCCCGGACGCGCGAGGAATTCGGCGCACGCTGCCTCGAGAGCGCCGCAGCCATGCTGCTCCGCCACCGCTATGGTCCCAGCCACCGTGTCCACGTCGATGCACCGGCACAGCATCTCCTCGCACAGGAGCTTGAGCCTCTCGAGCTTGTACCGGTGCGCCGCCGCGAGCAGATCCCGGGCCATCGCCACGGCGCCATGCTTCTCCTCCTCCTCCTCCATCATGGACGGCGGCAGCGCGTCAGTGTACATGAAGTGGAGCAGCGCCTTGAACACCCTGGGCTCCATGCCACCGATCTCCACGCGGCGACGGACGGCGACGGCCCCGCCTCCGGGCGCCTTCTCCTTGGGCGCGGCGAGCAGCTCCGCCTCGAAGGCCGGGGACCGCGCCGCCAGCAGCCACCCGCGCGCCTCGAACGTCTCCCCGGATACGTCGATCGCGACGTCCACGCCCTGCTTCTTCCACAGCATGTCGTAGAGGTGCCTGTGCAGGTCGGACGGCGGCACGACGACGCGGGACGACGCGCTGTCGACGCTGACGTTGTCGTCGTCCTCGGCCCACTTCTTGATGACGGTGATGTCGCAGCGGACCATGAAGCTGTCGTCCTTGAGGCACCCGGACTCCTCGAGGTCCTTCCACCGGATGAAGTCCTGGAACCGCGCCTGCCCGTCGACGAAGAAGCTGGCGTCGTTGGAGCGGCAGTACTTGGGCGACGGGTTCCCCGCGCGGTCCAGCAGGCTGAGCTTGAACTGGACGGGGTCCTTGACCTCCTGGCGCGGGCCCTTGATGTCGTCGGCGAGCTCCACGAAGATGGAAATGCACTCGTTGGACTCGTTCCAGCTGTTGCCGTTGGGGTCGTACTTGATGCGCCAGCGGTAGCCCGCCGCGTCGAACGCCTGCGACGACGCGATCCACTCCACGGGGCCTTCCTCGTCGCCGCGTACCCGCTGATGGTCAGGTTGTGGTGCCCCGTCACCTCGAGCGTGATGATGGAGGACGAGGACGCCGAGCACGACGACGACATCCGGCGGGTGGCGGCGGACAGGAGATGAGCGCCGCCGCCAGAGCTGGCCACCGCAGCCGAGCGTGAGATCCGGCGGGCGGCGGCGGACAGAACAACGGCGGAGGTGGCCGCCATGACAGGCTCGAGCGCGCGGGAACTAGCCGGCTGTTTGTTTGGCTTACGGGCGGTGGTTGTTGGTTGCCGGCAATGCAAATCCAGATTGAACAGGCTGCAGACCAGGAGGAGGATTTGCTTATGTAATTTTGATGACAGAGCATAAAGGATCGGAATCCATCTGGTTGCACACGATCGACGCAAATCATGCGTATCCGGTTCAGGCACCGTTCAACAGACGACCGAGATCGTCTCTATCTCAATCGTATACGTACACATCGATCTAACCCCGGCCCGTACCGCCAAGCCCAATGACCTGTTCACAGAGATTTCTTATACAGAATTTTGTGTACCTTATTAAATATAACGTCAAGGTTATTCT